AACCTTTCTGTATATTGATGTTTTCCCTCTTAAAATATATACCTTAGAGATTATACTACATCAGCAATTGTAGATTTACCTCATCATTTTTCATGACTGCCTCTTTTTCTTGAACGTAGTAAGTAAAAATTCTACACGCCATTTATTTTTTGTTTTTGTAATGGAGATGATATCTCATTTTTTAGGCCGTTAAATAAGCCCTTTCAAGCTCAAACTGTAATACCTTTTGAATTTCCATTCTCTGTTGGTTTGTTTTCTCACATCTCAGCAAATACTCCTTAATACATGGGCTTTTCACAAATGATCACAGTGCTTAAAGGGCCGTTTTCCTAGGCCTGTTATTATCCATATTGCCAGATGTCTGTGTACTCTCTCTGACAAGAACAAGTAAGGCAACAATGTGGGTTAGTGTCATGATGGAAACTATGGGTCACAGAATCAGACAAGAATCAAATTTTACTGTTGTTCCACCTTTGCTGTGGGACCTAAGGCAAGATACTTACTTCTCTGAGTTTCAGTTTCTTCTTCTTCTTCTTCTTCTTCTTCTTCTCCTCCTCCTCCTCCTCCTCCTCCTTCTCCTTCTCCTTCTCCTTCTCCTTCTTCTTCTTCTCCTCCTTCTTCTCTTCCTCCTCCTCCCTTTTATTTATTTATTTTTTTATTTGCCAGAAGGTGCATGCACTTGTGAGGGAGAGGGAGAGTGAGAACACCACCGCAGGGAGCAAGCATCCTCCATTCCCTTCTCCTCCCTCTCTTCCTCCTCTTAAGATTTTGGACACATATGCACACGCACCTGGTGTATTTCTCAGACTTGCAGAGTAAAAAGTCTAAAAAATATCAGGTGTGGGGACCAGCAGGTTATACTGCTGGACTCCCACATAGTTGACCATGGTTTGAGTCCCAAAACTGGTGACTTAAAACACACCAGGCGCATGTCCATGCCTGCTTAAAATCCTGAGAGGAGAGTGGAGGCGAAGGGATTGTGGCGTGACCATCCTCCCTTGGGGTTGATCTCTCACTTTCTGTCTATCTCTGGCAAGTACACGTACCCTTTAGCAAAAATCTCTCTCTCTCTCATTAACAAAAAACCCATTAGTTCCATTTTATAGACAAGAGTGAGAACACTGTTCCCATGTGTAGTAGAAGACAGATCTGAGATGTAAGTCCTGAGCTTCCAAATTCATAACTGCTTTTTTCCCCTTGGCTTTGTGATGCATCTGTTTAAAGCAATCTGACTTCGTAGTGCTTTACAGCATCAGAGTACCACCTAGCATATCTATTCCTGCTAAATTTACTCTAGAACCAATCAACCTGATTAATAACCTCACAGGCTGGCCCATCTGAAGGCATTGTTATACCTCTGCTTCAACGTCACAGCTATGTTCAAGGGCCCTGTGAGCCAGAATTGCAGCAACGCTGATTTAAAAGCACTAAGGAACACAAGGGTTGAGCATGTTTTGAAGTGTAACCCAGACCTGGCACGTCCTCACTGGTTGCTTTGGTGACCTGCTGAGGCACTAAGTGAAGGAGCAGAGAAGACCCAGTTAGGGATGGACAGACGCAAGCACCTGGGTACCCAAGATCCCTGAAGGAGGGAGAGATAGCAGAGAAGGGATTGCAGAGTGACCATGTCCCATGGGGGAGGATGCTTTTCCTTGCTTTCTCCCTCTCTCTCTCTCCTCCTCTCCCCAGCAGGCACATACACCCTCTAACAAATTGAAAAGGAAAAAAAAAAAGACACAAACAGCATCAGACCCCCCTTTTCAGGATTAACATCCCCAGAAGCCCCATCTCTGGTCTCCCGCACCACTGCCAGCAGGAGGAAAGGCAGAATTACAAGTTCACAGTACGCGAGGAAAAGGAAAAGGACCAGCTACACTGCCTGCCTCCGGCCTTAAAGTCAAATGGTGCCAATTCATCTGTACAAACCAAGCAAATGCTGTGTTCTTAGTAGGAAACACCCAATGGGACTGAAGGGAAAAGGTATCTGGATAGGCTTTGGTTTTCCACAGGACATGGAACCAGGAGACTTGGAAGGTCAGGGCCTCAGTGACCAATCTGGATAAGAGCAGGGCTTCCTCACACAGGGTACACAGGTTCAGAGAAGGGTCTAGGAACATCCTAAAGCTCCAACTGAGATTTTGAGTGTATGCACATTTTCCTAGCAAACGAGTCTCTCCTTTCTCAAATCCTAAGTCAGCCGTAGTCCAGGGTACAAAAGCTATCAGATGTACTGTGAGCCACTGTTATGCATCTAACTCGTCATCACAGCTGTGTTTGAAGGCCCTGTGAGCCAAGACTGCAGCGCTTGAGAGCTCTCAAAGCCAGCACCAAAAAGTTGGAACATGGATCCAGCAGAGACAACTGAGCATTCATTTCTGTACTCTTCTTCCTAATTGTATTTCAAGTGTTTTCAAAACAAGGCCCTGGAAAACCCAGGTTCTAGTATGCCCTGTGTCTGGCCCCCTGCTGCAGGAGTCCTGGAGAGTCTTGTCTCATTCACCAACTTTAAACCCCAGGAGGGAAGACCTGACAAAACAGGACTATCCTCCATGCATGTCTGCTCCACCTTTTCTGGCCACGCACCTGGCTGTTAGTGTCTAGAGCTTTAAAACTAAGGAGAAAATACTTTTATAAGTGCAGGTTGAGTATCTATTATTCAAAAGACTTGGGACCAGAATTGGTATGGGTTTGGATTTTTTTTTTTTCAGATTTTGGAGTAATTTGCACACACACAATGAGGCATTTTGGGAATGGGACCCAAGTCTAAACAGATTTATGTTTCATGTACATCTTTGACACATAGCCAAAGGTAATTTTATGCAATTTTTTTTGCATTGCAGTGTTCTGACTGACCTATTGCATGAGATCAGGTGTGAGATTTTCTACTTGTGGTGTCAGCTTGGTTCCCAAAAAGTTTTGGAGCATTTCACATTTTGGATTTTCAGTGTAAGGATGCTCAATCTGTCTAAAAGTTGAAGCACTCCAAACATCCCTGACTGCCTTAGCATCACTTTTTTTTCCCTTTTTTTTCTTTTCTTCTTTTTTTCTTTTTTCTTTTCTTTCTTTCTTTCTTTCTTTTTTTTTAATAGACAGATTTTTGCTATAAGGTGCAAGCGCTTGCCAGAGAAACAGAAAGTGATAAATCGCCCCTCAACCCCCTTGGGAGGATGGCCACACTGCAATCCCTTTTCCTCCATTCTTCTCTCAGGATTTTGGGCATGCACACAGATGTGCCTGGCATGAGTTTTAAGCTGCTGGGTCCAGGACTCAAACCATGGTCAATTATGTGGGTGTCTAAAAGTTACTATTAGGCCATCCACTGGTCCCAGCATCGCTTTTTTTTTTTTTTTTTAAGGTGCTCTCAGTCAATGCTTCTTGGTTGATTTAAAATTTCAAATTACCATGTGTCTACCATGGGAGTCTAGACCCACACTGTTTTTGTTTTATTTTGTTTTGTTTTGTTTTAAATTAGGTTTTCAGGAAAGTCATGATGTATTTTTCTATATAAAAATGCCTCATGACTTTTCCAACAACCCAATAAATTGAATTGAATTGAATTTTCTAGTTCTGCCATAGGGTATGTGTACTCACCAGAGGGAGGGAGGGAGGGAAGGAAGAAAGGAGGGAGGAAGAGAGAGAAAAAGTGAGAAATTACTCCCCAGGACGAATGGCCATACTGTTGTTCCTTCTCCTTCATTCTCCTCTTGTGATTTTGGGCACACGTGCACATGCACCTGGCATGTTTTGCAAGCCACCTGGTCCAGGATTCAAACCGGAGTTGATCATGTGGGACTCAGCACCTTAACTACGTCACCTGTGGGCCCCTAGACCCACGTTTTAAGATTGTTTTGCTTTCTTGTATTACCTGCGTTATCGTCCTGCAGAGCAGCAGGGTGGAGGTTGAGCAGTATGGGTGTATGTGAATAAAGGGAGACTCCCGGGAACACCGTCACCCTGAAGGAGTGTGATGGGCCACGTTGTTGTCGAGGCTCCCTAGAGGTGGCAAACTTTGTGGACCTTCCTGTATTTGAGAAGTCTCGAGTGCATTGCCTCCAGGGAAGCAGCAGTGCACTGGCCAGGCATGGAGACTCCCTGGAGGACAAAGCAATTCCTAGAAAGGCTCAGCCCAGCCTGTGCTAACCTGGCTGTCTGTCCATGTTTTTCAGTGACCATGGACCCAAACGTGTGGAGAAGTGATGTCTTCACTGAGTTTTTAAAGCTGGTACAGCTGGTAAGCTTGCTCTGATTACTGAGGCCTTCGCTTCTCTGCAGAACTGTCTTCACCCACTATGTGTGTGCACGTGCACAAGTGTGTGCTCTGTCCTGCAGGTTTAGATTCCAGATGGAAAGTGAAGTGTGCAGCTTGGCCTTCGGCTCCTTTTATTAAGCAGATACCTTTTTTTGTACCCCAAGTATCATACATTTCATAGCTGGCATAAAAGTGTAGAAAGACTCCAGTTTTCGTCTTTAAGGAATCCCCGAACAAGTCTGTGCCCCTAGGTCCCTGGCAGAGGTTTCCAAGTGTGCCAGAGACATTACCGCAACAGGCACGCCAGCTATGATCTGCACGCTCTCTGCTCCTAACCCTATTGCCAGCGGGTCACAGAGACAATTAATTTAGCATGAACAGAGTGATATGCAACAATTCCCTTTTCTTTGTTGGTCCTGAGAACCTCAGGCCACTTGCATCCCGGAGGCTGAAACTTCATTAAGTCAATTCGTTTGGCCCATCATTCACCATAATTGTACACATGGAAACACTTCTGCGCCTGCATGTGTGAGCTTGATGAGACGGAGGCAGAAGGGATTGAAGTCGTACAGTATGATATACTATTGAACCGCTTCCCGAGCCAGGGGAGGAATGATACCTTGATTCAATCGGCAAAAACGAGAGTCAATTTCATCTAGGCAGGGGTTCAAGTGTGTTGATAACCACATTTTCTGGCCCATTCATCTTCAGAAGTGGCCCCAGAACCTTCTGTACTGGTTATTTTTGCATACACTTGGTGGTTTAAATGCACATGCACACACATTCTCGCTTTCTTTCTTTCTTTTTTTTTTTTTTAAGAGTTTATTCATCGAGGTGGTGATGGTGCTGATGATAAAAGTCTAATTCAAACAGTGTAGAAGTGTATACAATGAAAAGTAATTTCCTCCCCGACTATCACCTCCTCCGGGACAATTGTTTAGAATGTGTTCTTTCTACACATTTCTATACATATACAAGTATATGTTTTCGCATGTCCTTTTTGTTTTACAACTAAGCACATATTCTGTATACTTTCTGAACTTTGCTTTTTAAAGCTTTCATCTTGCAGATTTTTCTGTATCGAGACTTGAGGTAGCTTTGACCTTGGTTCTATCATCTTTTCTTTGGCAGGGGAAGGTGTATTTTGGCTTTTTAAAAATCATTCATTAATAATGAACTCATTTATGGTGTACCAGTGTTTTAAATATTTGTTTTGAATCTCTCTTTTTTTTTTCAGGTAATTTGAAAGTTTTTAACCAATTTTAGTTCCTTTCGTATTTTGCTTTTGTGACTTTATTCAAAAGCCTGATAGACCCCCAGCCGTGTTTTTAGTGTCTCCTCTCACTTTTTCTGATGTGACTTTCACTTTTGAGATGGTTCATTTTTCTTTTTTAACATTTATTTATTTATTTATTTATTTATTTATTTGGAGAGGTTTTTGCTATAGGGCGCGTGCGCTCACCAGGCAGAGAGAGACAGAGAGACAGAAAGCGAGAAATCACCCCCACACACACCCGGGGGATGGCCACGCCGCAATCCTTTCTCCTCCATTCTCCTCTTGGGATCTCGGGCACGCACGCACACGTGCCCGGCATGATTTTAAAGCCACCGGGTCTGGGATGCGAACCACGGTTGACTACGTGGGAGTCCAGCGACACAGCCATTACGCTAACTACTGGTCCAGTATTTACTTATTTTTAACTTTTTTATTTATTAAAAAAGTTTTTTTTCAATGAAACCTAGTTTATTCAGAAAATGTAGACAAAATAAATTTCAGTTGCAATGTCAGATATACCAAAAGTGCAGGTGATATATAACGTACGGATGCAAATTAATGATCAAAGTATATTTACTTATTCCTTCCATGAGCCAGAGAGAGTGAGAGAGAGATAAAGAGACTGACGCCCCAACGAGGTCCTCATGCTGCAGTCCACTCCCGGCTTCCTCCACACTTAGATCGTGGGCACGCACATGCCCAGTGTATTCACGGAGCTCTCCAGACATGAACCCCAAACGCTTTCACTTATGGATCGTCCTCATAGACCAGCCATGCCCTTGTTCAGTCCCCTTTCTTTTTCTTTTTATGCCAGAGGGCACACACATGAGAGAGCTGGTGGGGAGGGAAGAAAGCCCACATCTGTGGGACCTGGTCATGCCTTATTTCTCCAGTTCCCCTTCTGGTCAGGATCCTGGGCACCCATGTGTCTGCCTGGTGTGTTTTTCAAGCTACCAGGCCAGAACTCAAACCCTGGTTGACTATGTGGGATCTGGCTTCCTCTGTGCAGTGCTTAACTACTGCATGGTGGGGCCAGTCCCCATTATCTTACCTCTTTATTGAGGCCTTCTCTTTTCTCTTGAGGTCTTCATGTAGAGGGGCCATGTTTTTATTAATGCATCCATCATTTTCATCTGCTTACTGACATCGTTTTGTAGGTGTACATTTTTTACCTTTAGTTGGTCTCCCCTCTTATCTCTTTTCTCGCAAGGCTTTTGCATAGTTCCCTTTACTGGTTGTGTTCAGGCCATCATCATTCAGTTTCGAAAGGGGCTGCAGCACGGGGGAGGGGCTGGAACTGAGTCAGAGCAATCTATCTTTTGTAGTTCTATATCTACCTCTTGTTTCTGCTCTCTTTCCAACACTCTGTCCTAAGGCCTGAGTGGTCTGTTGAGCAGCAAAGCTATAAACCATAGCTCCTACTAGCAAGATCTAGTATTTAAAACCCTCAGTAAGATCAGCAGTTCAAGAATCAGTTTAGGGGTTAAGGGTTCAGGCTCAGGAGTGAGACGGAGTTCAAATTTTAGTTGCCCTACTTCTGATTTGCAATCAGGACAATTAGCCCAGCCTCAGGGTCTCAGTTCCCCATCTGTAAGTGGAGAGAACAACTCCTGTCTCTTAGCGTTGCTTTGTGCTAACACTTTTTTTTTTTTTTTTTGCTGTAGGGGGTGTGCCCTCACCAGACAGAGAGAAAGAGAGAGACAGAAAGCGAGAAATCACTCCCCAGGGGTGATAGCCACACTGCAATCTTTTCTTCTTCAGTTTCCTCTCGGATCTTGGGTACTCACACACATGTCCAACATGAGTTTAAGTCACTGGGTCCGGGACTTGAACCGCAGTCGATCACATGGGAGTCCAGCGACAAAGCCATTACACCAACTGCTGGTCCCATGTACCTAATTATCTTCTGAAACAATGTTAACATTACTGCTACAGGAGACCCAATCTGGCTTGTAGAGTTTACTGTCCTGTTAAGGAGACAGAAAAGTCATGGACAGGTCCATAAAGGTAATGAGAACTAGGGGACAAGGCCAACCACTGAGTTGCACACCGTGATAGAGGACCAAGCACTGTGACTTGGGCCTTGGCCTTGAGATTGGATCAGGGGTATGTTGAGAGTTCCATGCCCTCAGCCCCTGGTGGTGAGCATCTGAAGGCCCTGCCACCTCTAGTGGCTTCATTCCCACTTACCTCAGTGTACAATGAAATATTATGTTACTATTTTCTATGTGTCGTGTGACCTTCTAAGAAGAGGGCTGAGAGACACTGTCACAGGTTTGTGCCTAGGAGACATGATGGGGACAATACTATGGTCAGAAAGACCTTATTTTTTTCTTCTAGTTTTCTTTATTTCATGAGAGAGACAGACAAGTGCTCTTAACAGGGTTACACATCACAATCTCCCCACCCCCAAGCCTTTCCCAGCCAGCAAGGATCATAGGCACATGAGCATAGCATGGATAGGTCGACTCAGAAACCAAACCCTTGCTCTTCCATATGGCTTCCAGCATTGCAGAGCATCGTGCCACCACTGTGCCAGTACAGCTGGGCCATTAGGAAGACCTTGTGAAGTGAGTCTAGCCTGGTATTTGAAGATTTCCAGAGAAGATTATATATGTTGTAGCTTTTTTGTTTTCTCCGTTGGAGGAAAAGTAACACATCCAGAAATCTGCGGAGACTCAGGATTGACATTAGCAAGTGGGAAGCCACTTATTGTCAGAGTCTACTCACACCGCCAGCAGACCCTTCTCCTGTCCACCCTCCAAGGCCAGAGTGATTTCTTGGTAGAAGACAAATGTAGTAAATGCAGGAGAGAAATGGTTGTCTGTGCTTGCAGCAAGATCGTTTCTGCAGGGCTGATGGGAGACTGGGAGGACTGCAATGAGCAGTGGTCATTTGTGGATATGCCCTGACCATGAAGGGAGCCCAAGTGACAGGGATTACACAATTTCCCCAGCTGGGTGTCTTCACTGTATCAGGCGCATGCAGTGGCTTACAGTTTCCCAGCATCTGTGGTCAAATAATCACACACTCCTGGCTGACTCTCCAGAGCTAAGCAAGTCCAAGAGCATCTCCCTGCCTGCCTCTGGCTAAGGATAGGCTGTATTAAAATCATGAATATGGAGGCCTTCCTAGAGTGGGGGCCTTCCTAGAGCCCTTCTGAAGAAAGCATCTGTTGAGGATAGCCAAAACTAAGGTATGATAATAAGAAGGATTTTATCTCTACAGGGGCACTTGTTTTATTATTATTTTTAATTTAAAAAATTAAAAAATTGCTAGAGAATGCATACACTTGCCAAAAAGAGATAGATAGAGAGAGAGCATCCTATTGGGGCATAGTCCCATTACACTGCCTTCTCTATTTCTCTCTCCTGTTGGGATTTTGGCTGTACACACATAGGCACCCAGCATGTTTTCCAAGCTGCCAGGACTGGGATCCAAGCTGCAGTCAGCCACACGGTATCCCAGTGCTTAATGGCTACACTATGGTACCAACCCTCCTTTAGAATGTTGTCAAAAACAATGCTAGGCCAGCCCTGTAGCTCAGTGGCGAAGGAAGCTGGATCCCACATGGCCAATGGCAGTTCAAATCCCAGCCCTAGCAGTTTGAAAAGTACACTGGGCCCATGTGGATGTGAACCTGAAATCCTGATGGGAGGGAGGTATGGAGAACAAAGGATCGTGGCATGACCATTCCCCACTGGGCAGTGCTCTCTCAGTCTCTCTGGCAAGTGCATGTACCCTCTTATAATAAAGTATATAATAAAGTAATGACATCCTTTCCATTTGTTTTGTACGTTCCTCCCAACCCTTGTAAGTCCAGTCTAAAAACGCTTCAACTCCATGACCTGGGCAAAGATGTACCTAGAAAGGGACTACTTGGAACAGTTTAGGCAACTCCTTACCCCTGGCCACCTATATGTCAGCTAAATATGGGTTCTTGAAGACCCTGCTGTGGTTCACCACAGTCAGTTACCATGGCTGCAGAGGAACTAGAAAAATCTTTGAGGGACTAGCAGTTGGCGTAATGGCTATGTCGCTGGACTTCCATGTAGTCGACCCAGGTTTGCATCCCATCCCCGGTGGCTTAAAACTCATGCTGGGCGTGTGTGCGTGCGTGCCCAAGATCCCGAGAGGAGAATGGAGGAGAAGGGATTGTGGCGTGACCATCCCCCCTGGGGGGTGATTTCTCACTTTCTGTCTCTGTCTGTCTGGCAAGCACACGCACCCTATTGCAGAAACCTCTCCAAAAAAAGAAAGAAAGAAAGAAAGAAAAATCTTTGAGATGCCTATGGAAAGCTCACAGCAGAAGTGAAAGTGAGAAGGAAGTGTGGCCTGAGGTTCTGTGGGGGCGCAGGGAGGACTACACTGTGGAGGAAGGAAGCCAGTAGCCCTGACACTCTGTGGAAGGTCTCTTGAGCAGTGCTCAAAGGATGCTAGGAGGTAGATCGTCCTGACCAGGGTGTTTGAAGGGAAAAATTGGCAAGTGGCTCTGCACTTGTTGATTTGGAGTCTGAGACAGACATCAAGAAGCCACAGGAGTGCTTGAAGTTAAACACACAGTGATCATGAGTAAATTCGTGATACGCCAACAGAGACCTACCATGCACAGAGGAAGGCAGCTTGACATGGCAGCTTAGAGATGCCGTGGCCCTATAACTGGCTCAACCTGGAACACTCACCTTTTCTTAAGTTTATTTATTCTATGATAGATAGAAAGACACAGACTGGCTCTTCACACCACGATCCACTCCCCTCACAGCTGGCCTGCATCATGGGCACACATGCCTGTGCACAACCAACGTACTCAGGAAGGGGCCAGGACGTGGATCCTGTTGTGTGAGCACTGAGTCCCCAACTGGCCCCCCAATGGCACTGTTGAGGAGTGCTCTAACTGCCTTTACTTCATCTGAAAAATGGGAATAAGGAGTGCATACGCCTCATGGAGCTATTATGAGAATTAAGTGATCTATTCGTGAAGCAGCTAGTTTTCCATATCATGAGCTGTGTGTGTGTGTGTAATAATTTCATAGATATTATATGTATTCATAAATAATTCATGTTGTCTATATGTATAGATGTGCATAAACATATGTTGCTTTTTTGACCCAACCCTTTGAATTTGGAAAATAGCAGATTTTGTTTTCTCCTGAAGGACTTATAAGAATGTGTTTTGGGGGACCAGCAGATGGAGTCCCACATGGCGGACCACAATTTGAGTCACAGACCCAGTGGCTTGAAATTCAGGCCAGGTGCATGTGTGTGTGTGTGTGTGTGTGTGTGTGTGTGTGTGTGTGTCAAGATCCTAGGAGGAGAATGGAGGAGAAGGGATTGTGGTGTGGCCATTCCCCCGGGGGGTGATTTTTCACTTTACCTCTCACTATGTCTGTCTGTCTTTCCCCACTCTAGCAAGCACATGTGCCCTAAGGCAGAAACCTCTAACAAAAAACAAAACAAAACAAATCAAAAAAAAGGGTGTTGGGGGTGAAATGTAAAGTCAAAGCTTGCCCTTTGATAATGAAATTAGAAAAAATAAACCTGTCACCAATGTGATCAGCCTTGTCAGGTAACCAAGCAATGTGACTGCGTTGGAGGAGCCCCCAGGCCCTGGCAAAACGGATGCCTAATCTGTTGTGTCTGTAAATGACAAGGGTGGTTTGGAGGACTGAAGAAAGGGAGATGATGCCTATTGAGGGTACAGAGTCTCACCTGGTCAGCTTATCTGAGCCCCAACTCCGTGATCCTCAAGTCATCTTCTGATTGGTCATTTAGATCTTCCCTCCCTCAACTTGCCATGAGGAAGGAGATGAGCTGGGCTGGATGTAATTATCCCAGTCACTAAAAGAAATATCCCTCCTCCCACCCTCCAAACACACACACAGTGTTACTCGTATCCTGGCTTACACAGCAGTCTCTGGACACACAAAATGATTTAGTCGATTCTCCTTCCCAAGGCTGTCCATTCTCTCTTTCTCAGATTTGCTATAGGGCATGAGCATTCACTGGGGTAGGGTGAGAGTGAGCAAGCACCTCCCTCCATGGGGAAGGATCACACTGAAAATCCCTTTCTTTCCATTTCTCCTCCCTTCATGAGATGTTGGACACGCACGCATGCACGCACATGCCCTTGGCTTGTTTCTCAAGCTGTCAGGCCTGGGACTCAAACTGCTCAGTCAGTCATGTGGGATCCTGCTGCCCCAACTACTGCACCACTGACTGGCTCAGCTAGTGTTATTCTAAATGCCAAAGAAGAGAAGTTAGTTCATTGCACACAGTAGATGCCTTGGGTCATTAGGGTTTCATTTTTTCGGGGAACCTAGGATGAGAAAGGCCTTGACTTGAATTAGTCAGAGGTGCTCAAGTCTGTGAACTGACAGGATCACATTGGGGAGATGCTGAGCTCCGTCCACCCCAGATGCCACCTCTGTGAGGCCTTGTTTTGGCAGGCACTGTCCTCTGTGGGCCATACCACCTCCTGTGATCCCTCTTTCCATGCTCCACACAACCCCCTGCTTCCCTAAACTCTGACGGTCTTCTAGCACCTCTAGCATGTCCTGGACTCACTAGGACACTCCATCCCCAGAACATCACAGGTCTCCAGCCAGCTTTGTCCCTGCCTCTGGGAGAGTTCACCACTGTGCTGAGCTGGGCATCAGGCTGGACATTCACTATGCAGGCACCTGCCTCCTCACACTGACCTTGTGGTTTGTACACTTCAGACTTATGCTGTAGGAAAATTCTAAATTACTCCATATCGTGGTGTGGCGTGTGTGTGTGTGTGTCCAAAATCCTCAGAGGAGAACGGAGGAGATGGGATTGCAGCGTGGCCATCTCTCCTGGGGGGTGGGGGGGATGTCTCTCTTTTCTTCACTCTGTTTCTCTGTCTCTCTCTGGTTTCACCCTATGGCAAAAACCTAAAATAACTAACTAACTAAATAAAAACAAATAAATTTGAACTTTGTCCCCAGTTTCTGGCACAGAGCTCCTAAAACTGTAGGACTGGCCTCAGCGATGAGAGTATCTTCTGTTATTCATAATAAGCCCCTTTCAATCTCACCTGAATTTATGCGGCTGAGCTGACTGTTGGCTAAAGAGCATCCCTATGGCTTCAAGAAGGGGACTGGTCACCTGAAAGACCAAAGTATGATTAGAAGGTTGGAATTTTCTTCCCCTCACCTACCTCCAGGGAGGGGAAAGGGACTGGAGTTCAATGATGCCCCTTCCTGTGGGCATCAACGTTCCAGAGATCTCTTAGGGTCTTCCTAAGGCTGCCATCACTTCCCAATGGCCAGTGATTTAATCAGTCTTGCCTACAATGGAACCTCCACATAACCCCCTGAAGGATGGAATCTGGAGAGTTTCCAGATTGGTGAACACGTGGAGGTGCTACCCCTGTCCTTGCCCAGTGCATCTCTTCCATTGGTTGTTCCTGCATTGGAAAATAAGTCAGTGATAGTAACTAAGCTCTTTTCCTGAGTTCGGTGAGTCATTCAAACAAGTGAGGGGTCCCCGAATCTGTGGACAGTGGAACCAATGTGGGCAGCCTGGCCACCCTACTCGCAGCTGG